ATCTGGGCATATTGTTTTCTTCTTTCACGACTACTGCTTTCCAGTGATTACCTAATTTCTTTTGTGAAACAATGGTAATGTTTTTTTTATGACGATTATAATACGATTTCTGCTTAGTTCTTTTTTGGTTGATTTTTTTTTCTTTCACATTTTCCACAACTTGAAGTTTCAATCATTTTTCTGATGTAAGAAGAATAGTTCTTGTTCTTCTACTTGCAAGTTGTTGAGCTGCGATTCTAACAACTCATTAGCTGGAGTGTTCCTATGAGTTAACAATGCTAAATAAGGACCAGCATAATCCACTCGAGTTTTCTTCAGCAATTTCTTCGCCATTTATACTGAATGCTCTGCTAATCTATTTGACTGCAGATGGTGAGGACAGTTTGTTATGTTTAAAATTGCTTTTTTTGACCGATTATACTATATAGTAGTACAGTCAAAAGTCGTTAATTCGGACACCCATAATCCGGACATCAAAGTAACAAACTTTCTGCGCATGCGTCGCTTTGACGCATGTGCATAAGACCTTTACGCCTGCGAATATGCGTGTGCGCATGCGCAAAATATGTTTACGAATGCGCGTTTAATGTATAACGGATGGTATAAGCTAAGATAAAATTATCTAATTCAGTTAATGTTGCAGATTGCGTTGTTCCTTAATCTTCAAATTGGATCCGGCTTATTATTTTTTGCAGAGTGTTAGAGCAATGTTATAAAAGTAAGCTTGAACTTTCGATTATGTCAAATAGAATTTCTGATATATATTTACTCCTATGTAAAGGATCTACAAAGCAAAAGTATGTTTCGAAGTCCATTAAACAAAAAGTGGAATTGCTGCAAAAAAGGATAAAGGATAATGGATTTGTTTATCTAACCATTCCGAAATCTGTTTATTAATTTCACGCTGCTCTGCGCGCGTGTGTGTGTTTGGGGGGGGGGGGAGAAGTCGCGTCGCTCAATGAACTGGAAGTTGATCTGTCAGCATTATCCTTATCTTCAGGGCAGATGTTTTTATTTTATTTGGCTTATAATTCCTTACTAAATGTAGTATTTCATATCGATGCACTCCGTCTTTGATATGATTTAAATCAAATTCCTCGTCATTATAATTCACTTCCGATAGCGAAAAAGCGACACAGAGGTCACTTTCTTCGAAAACGAAAAAATTCCGATTGACAAATTAGTCGGTATTCTCGACACAGCAATTGTAGGACTTGAACAGCGGAACTTTGTAACTGAACAAGAAATTATGTCTGTTTATAGAATTAAAGAGAAAGTATTATCACATTAAAAACGAAGCAACAAATAACAACTTACGTTGAAAGAAATGTTTAATAAAGTAAACAAATAAATATTAAGCTTTTTTTTTTTGTAAATTTTGATACCCTTTAGATCATAATGATCTATAATCTGGAAAAATCGATAATCCGGAATTGCCGAAGTCCCGACGAGTCCGGATTAACGACTTTTGACTGTAGTTGGTATACTGCTGTGACAGTCGTATCTTTATTCTAATAAACAAACCTAACTGAAATAATGTCAGATTAACTCACCTTTCTGTGAAATTATTTTTACTTTTTAATAATTAACAATGTTTTGACACTTAAAACTATTTCCGAGAGTGAATCTTCTCTACTTGCTGTCCCAGATGATTACGATCTTCAGTGGAAGTGATCTGAGGGATGATGTTCAGTAAAAATGTTTATTTAAGAGTCTAGGAAATACCTTGTCAGTCCTTTTTAGAGATGGTCACCATGAGAATGTTCAGTGTATTTTGTTTTGTGTCTTCATAAGTAATGTAAATGATTTCATTTTATAGCCTGTAACAAAATCTAAAGAGAAACATCCCTTTTTTTTGTGATATTTACAAAGGCTATGCCGCTTCTGTATCAGATTTAGAGAAAATTTCTACATTTTTAAAAAAGCAAACTTGAAATATTAACCATTAACATTATGAAATAAATTCTTTAAAGATTCTCTAAAAGTCATGCATTTTCACCTGAAAAATATAATAAATAGTATTACTCTTAAATAATGGACTGCTACTACAATCAAATACCGAAAATCCACCGACCTGAAATCTGCGTTGCCTCTCAGAATATAAACATTCAGTTTATAGGTTCCAGAAACTGCAACACTGAGTACGAAATATCGAAGAAAAAAATACTTACCGAATAATGACGTCCTAATTACTGAATAATAATGAGTCAAAGCAGAAATACCAAATTATTGACATAAAAAAGTTGAAAAAAAATAAGATAAGTTTTTTCCCTCTCTAATCTGCATTGAGGTAAAAAAGCAGACGATTCACTCAACTCTTTGTTCAAGTTCACGATTCACTTTGTTGTATTTTCCGAGCTTTGTTTTTTCATTTCACGAGATTGTTTAGTGCTGCCTTTTTTTTAATCCGGATATTTTGTGGATAAATTAAGAATATTTTAAATTTCATCCCTTTTTAATACAATGACAGATAAGAAACGCACTCGTGATTTCACTGCTTGCAGCGTTGAAAAACGTAAACACTTTGCATTGACGGTAACGCAAAAAGTGCAAATTCTTCAAAAGATGGAAGCAGGTGCTACTCCTCGATTTATAGCAGAATGGTATGGAATTACGACATGATTGTGTACGACATACAGAAAAATAAAGAAAAGCTGTTGAAATTTTACAGCAACAGTGATTCTAACACCGGAATCCGAAACCAGAAATCTTTGCATGAAGCGAAATCGGCAAACCTTGATGCTGTGTACATATAATGCAATGAATAATATAATCAATTTATATATGTAATAATAAATTAATGCATATAATAAATTATTGCAATAATGTATATAATAATTTAATTAAATGTATCTAATACGACTTATTCATTTTACACTTTTAGTCCGAATATTATGCTTTGTCTTTTCTGTCCTGAAATCTGCACAACCTCTGGTCCCAAGTTTTGCATATTTCTGGAATTTTACTGTACTTTTTATGAATTTTATATATATTTGGATATGTTGAATAAAGAGTACATTTAAAAAAACTTTTTAATATGCATGGCACATTTTTCATGTTCAGGATTACGTACGTGGTACATTATTTGGATTACTAAATGAAGTAAAAAGGAAATTATGCCCGAGTATGCAGATCACGTTGTAAGGAATTATTGTATTTCACTTCGCCTGCTCTAGTGCTTAGCACATCCAGTGAGAGCTGGTCAATCCATGCATCTCATACCAGGAAGAACACAACTGATGTCTTTCATTTCCTGGCCCTGGAAAAATAATAAAGGTCTATAATGATGCCCAAATTAAAATGTGGCAAATGAGAGTTGCTGGTTTTGATTGACTAAACTTATATGACTCTCTTCTATCCTTTATTGAGTGGGGAAGAATGTAAGCTATGTCTTTGCATTGTTGTGCTATCAAATACATATCTAGGAAGAAATATAGAAGTCCTCGCTTGAAAATGTTTTAGTTTTGTACATGATATATGACTTAAAAATAAAAATGTTGATGAAATTCTTTAAAAAATTTAATACAGACCAAGATATCTGTTGGCAGCAATGGGATAAAAAATTGAAACCAGTTTTCATGTTTAAAAATTAAAGGAATGCAAGATATGTAAGTACCTCCCTTTTTCTATGAGAATATTGGAATATTTCCATTTTGAAATCTGACCTCTTGCATTAGAGTCCCAAATCAAAACTTTTGCTGTGTGAATCAAGTTAAAGCTTGAATTTATTTACTCTAGCATTTCTTTATTAAGAGCAATCTTGACCGACTTTTATTGGAGGGAAAGCATATGTTTTTATTGTAATGTAAGAAATATGATTTGGGCGTTTTCTTTGAAATAAAATGCTTTGCATCACATTTAAATTTCTAATTCTACAACAAAAAGTGAACTGATATATCACGGTAGTTGATTAAAATTCTGAGTCGAATTTTTGAGTCTCTGTTAAAAGCTTTTTAAAATTAATTTTGATAAGCTGTTCAAGAATTTTCTATCTCAACAATGTCTTTTCTTGCCAACTGCAGAAAGCAAGATTTAATAGAAGCACACAAAGAATTAAAGAAGGATGAGCTGCTAATTAGACCAATCCAAGAAATTAAAAAAAAATATTCATTGGAAGTCAATTTTACGATAAGGAAAAAGTTAATTTTCAAACCGAGTAATTGCTGATCATGAAATTATAGAAGCTTTGACCGATTCTACAAGGACATATGCGTTACAATTTACAACATATAAAAGAGTGTTCTTTCAAAGCTTTTCTATCCACTACATTTTTTGTATTTTACAGTGCTCAAATTTTTATTTTTTGGTTCTTGAAAACAATAATAATATTTTTATCGAATTTACTGTGATATGATTTAAATTTTTGGAATAAATCAAAAATATAAAACATGAAACAAAATATCCCAATACCTATCACAAAACGTGAATCCACATACCTTGAATTACAATCACCATCATGTTCACGAAATTATAACACAATTAATGCTTACAGAATTAAATCATAATTGTATATAATTAGATGAATGACAATTCTTCATAATGAGAGCTACTTAGGAATGTGGATAAATTGACTACTGATTTTTGTCTCCATGGTTGTTGAAAGATAAGAAATTGCATTCATACCCTTTCCGAACATAAGTTTGAATGCAAAATCAAATTCAGCATCTTTGAATATCTATGAAGAAATGAACTGTAACATAACAACAAAATTCCTCTCTGGCATGCGTGCCCTTATATCTGACAGAATTGACAGAGAATATTTGAACTCCACTGAAAACATACAAACAATCCTGACACGGAAATACAATCGGTTAATAACAAATCCCACTGCATCCATCCATATGCACACATTTAAGCATGATCTCAAAACTGAATGCGATATATATATATATATTTTTTTTAAATATAAAAAATGATCCTTGAACCATGAATGTGTGAGTGGGGGCCATAATGTTTGTACTTTACTATTCTTGTCAATTAGTCTATATAGGCACATATGATCTAGTTATATAAGTTTATTGCATCATTACAAATCGGATTCTTTACTCTCCTGCCAAAAGACCTAAAATGATCCTAACAGTGATGAAATGTTGAATTATGAATGTGAAAATGATAACATCTCAGCACAACAATGCACTCTTTGAAGTAAAGCTCATATAGGTACAGATATGTCATAACACAGGATACATTTTGAAACTTTCATAGTATCAAATGCCCAACATTTAAGATTCTTATTAATTATACATTTAATACGAGACAAAGGAAGACATTCACATTGAAAAAAAAAAAAGATATAGATTTCCAAAGTAAAATATTTACTCAAATTTTACAATAAATTTTGATGTGTGCAAGAAATAAATGATCAAACATTTCCATTTATTAACTAAAACTAATAACCAATATATGTAATGCTAAACTTTGAAATTAGAAAACAAAGTATAATTAAGTACAGTAATTTACACTTTTACAAATATACAGGAAATATTAGGTATTAGTATTATTGTTTGTTACTAGACTTGTTTTCAGTATATGTACTATTTAAAAAGATTCATACTCCTTCATTTTAAGATTACTTCAGCTGTGAAACAGGAACTATCCTATTTCTCCAGCTTAGAGAGGCAGAAGGATATTTACCCTCTCTCCGTATTTGAAAATTAAAGGCACAAATGAGCAAATGTTTATTTTCGAATGCTATCTGGGAGGGAGTAGAAATGCATTTCTATGGTCAAGAATTATCCTTTGAAACATTTCCCCTGTATAGAGCTTAACAAATGTGTATAACAAAAATAGTGTACTTTTTGAAACATTTTCACTGTGTAGAGCTTAACAAAAATAGCATACTTTTCAAAATTGTACAATCTCTCAGTGGAGATTTGGCAGTAAAAATTAACGTGAAAATTTACTTATAATATATATATATATGTATATAATATGTTATATAATATTTTTCTAGCATTTTAAACAGAGATTCTTATTTTTAAATGCATAGCAAATCAAGCATAATGCCCTTAGTATTGAGCAATTTACTTGTTACTTCTAAGCCCAATGTTCATACTTCCTCAAGCTCAATTAACACACCACCACAGTCCTTAGGATGCAAAAATACAACAGGTTTACCATGAGCTCCGATTTTAGGTTCTTCATTCAGCATTCGTATTTTCTTTTCTTTTAGATCTTTCACTGCATTTTTTATGTTATCTACTTCTAAACATATATGGTGCATTCCACCTGATGGATTCTTTTGCAGAAAATTTCCAATTGGACTTTCGCTGCCATAAGGAATAAGTAATTCCAATTTCATATTTGATAATTCAACAAAAACTGTAGAAACTCCATGATCAGGTAATGGTACTGTTTCACTTGTCTACAAAAATATGAAGACAATTAATATACTGTCAGCAATAAAACATACAGATATTTTTATGCAATTTCATTGCAAATCATCCATAAGAGTAAAGCTGAGTAACAAAATATAAAGAACAGAATGAAAGAAAAAGGAGAAAGTTTCAGAAGAATAAGTTGGATTACAAAACTTTAAAATTTTTAACTTGCCGTCACCTATGATTTATACCAATAAAGCCAAAGTAGCACCCATAAGAATTCTTTTTGAATCTAACATTTCTGGTCTTTTATGAAAAAAGTACACTTATTATTTACTTTATTTAACAGTGGGATTTTTTCATATGGATGTGATTTGTATAATTCTCAAACGGATTGTCTGTTCCTCCAATGAGCAAGTTTTAAATTAATGTTCTCAGTTATTTATTTTAGTATATTTTGCTTTATTACATTAATTTGAATTTTAAATTCAGTAAAAAGTGTCCAATTTCTTTTGCTTCACTCGACATTAGAATTTTTACTAGTGCATGTGTCCTTTTTTATTTTTCTTTAAAAGAAATGACACTGCATCAGGAAGGAGTTCAGAATTTTCAGGTGAACTGTTATACTTAAATGATTTAGAATGGTTCATCAGCTAATTTTGGATAACAGACACGCAGCGTTTTTCAAAGGGAAGAAGGGGTTCAATTGAGTTTGATGTACTTCCTCTACCTATATTTTTATTTTTTGAGGTTTTAGTATTTCACATTTCTTTAATTTTTCTTACTTTTGGTTAATTTTACATATTTATTGTGAATTTTTAGAAGGATAATGGATTTTCAGCAGCATTTTTGTTGTAAAACACACAAGTGCTTTTTACAGACGGTTGAAAACTAGAATATAAAAGTTGCAAGTGATTATAGACAATGAAACAAGAAACTAAATAATATTTTTGGATTGCTGAAGAGGTTATCTGATATTACAAAATACAGGAAAATGTACATGATAATGAGGCTATATTTTCAGTTGCCAAATAAGTCACTTTCTTAAAAATGTGCATAGAGATAACATAAAATACCTCTAAAAAATAAACATAAATGAAGGTAATTTGAAACAGTATACTTTAGATAAAAATATAAATACATAAGATGCTGCAAACATTTTATTAAAAACATAATTACAGAATGATAGGCATCTACATGTTCATAGCTTTAAGTTATTTCACATGTTCTGTACAATTTCATTTCAGTGAAAATGTGATTAGATAGCTTTACCTTGATACCTAACACATCTCGATAAAGTTGAATATTTTTTTCCATATTTTCAGAAGCTATGGCAAGATGATTGACTCTAAGCACATTCCAAGCCCTTTCCTTGTTAATTACAGAATAACAGCACTGACTTTGGGGCATAAGCTTAGCAATGTTGAATAAGTTCGAAATTTTTCTACCTATCAAACTGGCCATAGTGATTTGTTCAACTGCAATGAAAATGTTGAATATTTTTAATTACTTACACATCATAATATTTTATTATTTTGCATTCGATAAGAAAGAATTTAAAAAGTAGGCAATAAGACAAAGAATCAGATAAATTTATATATGAAATAATATTCAAAATATTTAATAAAATGTTACAAATTTATTCTTATAAGCTGAAGTTTTAATAATAATGACAGCACAATTCCCAGGCGACTGAATTCAGTCCTTTCTGATTACCCATATCCCCACTGAAGGTCACAAAAATGTATTCATGAGACAAAGAGCAAGTCATCAAAATAGTTAATGTGACAACTCACAACATTGCCAAAAATTATTTTGGCAACTATTGGTACTATTTTTGGTACAAGTATTTAGTGTATATTTTTTATAGTTTCTAAAGTATTTAATTTTTTCTTCTTAGTATGCTGCTATTTTGAAAATGGCTATTGCCATTGATAGGTAGAAAAATTAGTTGCTACTGAGTTCAAAACATGGGGATGCAAATAATCAGAAAATAACTGCAATTTTAAAATGAAGAGTAATAATTAATGCACAGTGAGAGCCAAGCATATTCATGAAACCAATAAATAATACAGTATATTTACAAAACTAATAAACCACATTAGAATGTAACAAGGTTTCTTGTATTAAACAATAAAAACTAAACTTCAACCAACATACTGGCTATGTTTATTGAACAAATAAAATATTTATAAAGCATCTATAATGCATATTAGTATGAAAAACAGGAAAAAAAAAAAAAAACTATTTTAAGTAGCCATATTTTGTATGCACATTATAATTAACTTTGTATGTAAAATTCAGATAATGAATTCCACATGGAGAATGACAACTTTGTTCAGTAAATTACTTATTTTTATTAATTAAATGGTGATTATTATACTCCACTACCTTTTAATTAAGGCAACAAAACTAAAAGTACAATCACCCACAGATTTTGAAAAATCTAAAATCTCAATTCTTGACTGACAGCAATCTGTACATACATCTCAAATCTGTTTGCAGAGACATAACAGGAATTTATATAACTGTAGAAGTACTCCCTACACCTGCCAATTTTGCTAGAAATTATCTTTAGGAAAGAAATTTAAATGAAATACAAAAAAGTATATAATTCAGAAACATTCAAAATAGATTTCTACAGTTAAAAAAAGTACTTTTCTGTTTCGTCGGCGCAAATCTCGCCAAGCAGACTTTATTGGCGAAAAACACATAAAAATTGTTGACAAATGTTAGTTCTAAGAATTTTTTATTTCGAAGGTATAAACAATTTAATGCTGTTCAAAATTTTGTAAAAAAGCCAATAAATAAAAACAATAAATTTGTAAAACGACATTAATATAAGAATTTACTATGCTTTCATCATACAACATCCTGATTCGCCGGTTCATATCACGTGACCGCAAGTGATCTCATCTCACATAAACTACGCTACAAAAATCTAATTCTCTCGACAATTATCTACATTAATTTCAAGTTAAATCTTAATTTGGAATACGAGTTTAAATGCAGGAATTATATCAATTCATACGAATAGAAATTATGTAAAACCGAAGTGCTTTACTTTGCTTAGTGCATTTGAATTGATGAATTTAACTGGTACTACTATTCCGTTTTGAGGACCGTAAAAAATCGCCAAACTATCGTTGATGCCAGTGCTGCCAAAAATAATTGCGGCAACCCTAAGGCAAGAAAGAAGTATAATAGTAAATAACTATTTAAAATTATTGTTTTAATTTAGATAAAAGGTTAATTCATATAATACTTTTTTATTATATTAATTTATATGAAAAAGGCTAAACCTGACTGAATGGAAGCTAAGAGTAAATAACTATTTCAAACATTTTTATAATTTATATAAAAAAGCTAAACATAACTGAAGGATTCCTGCATCGCTATTTCGCACCGAGTTATCGCTAAAGCATAATTTCATCTGTTGGTGTTCAAATAAATTTCTATAATGAATGATGCTTTTCTTTGAAAAAATTTGGTAGTGCTGAATCGCCCACTTATTTTTGGCAATTTTTCCAAGGTTAAAAACTTGAATTTTATCAATTTTCTTTACTTTTTAAGTGAAAATAGGCCGATGTACATATAAGTCAAGGTGTACGCATGCCATTTTTGTGATTTTTTTTTAAAGTGAAAATAGGTCGATGTGTACATGGATTGCAGATTTTCGTCATGGGCATTTCCAAAATTGTTAAATCTATAGGATATCAAAAAAGGATTTGAATCAAAAAGGAAAAATAAAAATAGTATTTCAATGCCGTCTAAGAAATATAAACTATCAAAATTACGCAATTACATCAGACCTAGATTTGGCGCTCTGTTAATTTTGTGCATACATTTTTGCTGCAATTTTTTACGGTCCTCAAAATGGAATAGTAAAATGAATTTAACCCTTAACTTTGCCTCTATATTTTCGCTATCGGGTGAGCAGTGTGATTCAATCCTAATTGACTTAATTACCACCCATGAATGGCCTTAGGGCATAAAATGGAACTATCTGGTAAAAATTCTGTGTAATTGTCTGCCAGTATTGAAAGAAACAACCAATCTAATAAGAAATGGCTGCAACTTGTTTTGAACATGTAAAAGTTAAAGTAAAAGATTACCAGCGAGGATATTTCGTTTGGCATCGGTAGTACCATTACTGGCGACTTTATCGCTTGCGTCAGCAAAATGAAAAAGTACCGATGAATTTAACCCTTGACTTTGCCTTTTCTATATTTTTGCCTTCGGGTGAGTGATGTGATTGCATCCTAATTGACTTAATTATCACATATGGCCTTACGGCATAAAATGGAACTATCTGGTAAAAATTCTATGTATGGCAGTATGAATAACAATCAATCGATAATATGCTGCGATCGTTTGAAAATGAGGCGTAAAAGGTTACCAGCAAGGATATTACGTTTGGCATCAACTGTACCATTATTGGCGACTTTAATGCCTATGCCGGTAAAACGGAAAAGTATGAAAAAAATAATATTAGGAGACTTATGATTTCCCCAGAAATTTCACACCAAGCTTTGATTTATTTCTTGGCACAATGCAACTACTACTTAAATTTTGTATGAAGAATTTAAGTAGTAGTTGCTTTGATGTTAAAATAAAAGATCCCACTGTACCTTATGCAACTTTAACAAGTTTACAACAATGGAAACTTTAAAGAGATTTAAATCCCAATATTTGCCTTTATTTACAACCTTAATAAAATTTGTTATCAAGTTTAATTTAATATATAAAACTAACAGAATTACTCTTTCGGAATCAATTACTTCTTCTTCTTCTTCTTCTTTTTTTTTTTAATATTCTTTTCCCTTATAATGAAACTTTTTATTTTAAAATTATTAGGGAAATTATTTTAAAATTTCCACAAAAACTTCAGTTATGCTCAATAACTGTTTATATGTAATATTATCTTCAGAATCTCATACGACTCCTTCATTTGGTGAAGTATGCCAATAAAATGAATAGACATTTGCATTGTACAGTAGTACAGACTTTAGAGATTCCGCTGACATTAACCAATTCCTATTCCCATCAATGCAGAAATGTCATTCATTGTTTGTAAAGTGGAAGAGGGGGTAAATATAAATGTTTCCTACTCAATTTAAAAAAATAAATATTTGGGTATTTTTGTCAAATGAATTCTAACTTTATGATTTTGATTTGGTACTTTTCACGGTTAATCTTCGGATTATGGTAACTTGGCTATTTTTTGGCGACCAACCCCGCTACAGAAACCTGCTAGTTTTGTTTTGGATGCCATTTTGTTTTCCTGAAGTAAAGGCATTTTTTTTTTTTTTTAACTCAACTTTAATTCCACCAATCTCTGCCAATTATGCTTATACAGAACGGTTATGGAACAAAATCTTAATCATGACGAAGATAGTTGAATGAAATGATTGACACGGTAGTTAAGAATGGCACATACACGTATCATCCATGACATGTCCACCTATTTGCCTCAAAAAAACATCCCAATGCACAAAATGGCATTGCCCACTCATTACTTATCTGTAATCAAGTCCTAGCTATAAACGTATCGCTTACCAAAATGTCGCCAAACTACCTGTTATCATATTCCAGAGATTAACCCTTTTCACTTTTGCTAAAGGTCTCACACAAGCTCAAAAGTTTTACTGCTTGACAATTCCTGTCCAATGCTAAACTTTCTAGTGAAATCAGTTTCCATTTTTTGTCTCATAAGATCAGAAATTTTTAAAAAGTTTTGGAAGCAAAAATTTATTTGTTAAGACCAATGGATATTATGAATTCAGATTTGGATAAGAAAACATATCTGTCATATATTTTTAATCAAGTTTTATTTTGAGGAAATAAAACTCAAATTTGTCTAATGGTTGGCTGTAAATTATTGCCACCATATGTCTGGTTTCCACTTTTTGTACTTATCATATGATTTATACCCAAAAGAGAATTGATAATTTTAACATTTTAATTCTCAGTACTTAAAATAACAAAACTTCTTTGATTTTTAAAAACAACAATTTAAACAAGTATTGATATTGGGAATAAAAAATACATTTTAATAACTATCAAATGAAATTTTATCTCAGTTGAAACACTGGTCATATAAGACAAAACTACAAATTCAAAGAATAAAATTTTGTATAAAGAAATTATTATTTAGGAACAAAAGATTTTAAATAAGCCCCCAGGTTCTGATTATCACTTAACTCAAAGAAACCTAGACTTAGATGTTAGGTTTGTGCATGCCATAAAATCATCTTACAACTTCTCGTAGTGAATTTTTTTCTTAATGAGAGCCCGGATATTGGGAACTCTACAACAGGTCGCCCTCAAAATCCATACTTTCATTCAAAATTTATGTTAATCTAAGTTTGCCCTCTTTTGGCTAATTTTAAAATTATTTTTAAGTTTATTTAGCTCACGACTTTTTTTTAAAATAAAATTCCACCCATTTAAATATTATATTGTTAATTCTTATAATATTGTTTTTCCTTAACATTATATTGGCATTAGAAAAATGAAAAAAACCACAAAGGTACTAAGATTTAAAAAAAAAAAAAAAAAAAAAAAAACTGTCATATGTTTCAAACACCAGCCATGACATTCAACTAAAAGTATTTAATATTAGATACAAAGATATGTTGAATACTAACATGGGATGAAAAAGTTTCTTATACACTGGAAAAACAAAACATTCATGTGAATCACTTTATTGTGGGGAACGTTGTGGACTTGGGACAACTTGATATTGTATCACAATCATACAATATCTAAAAAATAATCTACATGAAAGAAGAATGTGAGACAGATTTAAAAGAAAGAAATGAAAAGAAATCCGCATAATACTTCTGCGGGAAAAATTAAAATAAAATTCATTTTAAACTTTTAGCATTGGATTTCCCTACTGAATGACAATACTTTTACTTCAAAACAGTGGAATTTTGAAGAACGACGCTATTCAATCTAGGATGCTGTTAGTCGGATGATTTTCTAAAAATTTCAGTTCCTGTTTTCACACCGGCATAATTATTACCTTTATCTAAGACGTATTGGCAAGCATTTCACCTGTCTTTCCTTCTGAGCTAACTCCCTTTTCAATTTCCTTCTGCTTTTCAGGCCGTTCCACTATGAAATAAGTATACAACTGCGTGCCCAAAGTAATACCTAACACACCGGTTAGTCCTAACAGACCAGTAACAGCCACTTTATGTAAACGATCAAGGATTGCCATATTTTAATCGTTCTCTAGTTTGCTATCAATGAGTAATAAAAACAAATAGCTATTTAATATACAGTATAAACGTGATCAACAATTTGCAAAGATTACACCAAAGCTCTTTGGCTTACACTAACGATTCAAGACAGGAAACGTCCGTACAAAGAAATTTCTGCGCATGTGTGGATATCTTTGTAGCAATCTAATCTACCCTACGCAAAGATTCTTTGCCCTAAAGACGTTCTTTGGCATAGTTTTTGGTTTAAATTTTCTATGTTCTAGGTTCAAAGCAATTGTAGTTCGTTTGAATAATTAGTTCAGCAGTAATGAATGAAGAATTCAGTAACTCAAATTAAAAAATTCTATAGTTCTTTCATATAAAAGCGTAACGTATGCTATAGCCATGTACTTATTCAGCGGTTTATTTTTTATTAATTTCAAAGATATCGAATCGTAATCTTTAAAGTTTGTAAACAATCTTTCACGTGCTGTGGGATCGGGGAACATGGTTGTTACTGGTAAATATAGTTTCACACATGTTTGTAATCTATTAAGAAAATCTGATTAATTTTAGATTTGATGAAGAAATCTTTTACAGATGTGAAAAACATTATTTTGGTGTTGTCTGGGAAAGGCGGAGTCGGAAAATCTTCAGTGGCCGCTCACCTTTCGTTAACACTTCGGGACCTTGGTTTTAAAGTTAGTATTTTGACGTCTTAAATATTTGGTTTAAAGTGTTCCAGTTATTTCGCTGTTCGAAGACATAAGTTTCATAAGAGTGTAACTTACCTTATTATTTCATTATCTTTGACTGCTCTAACGGAGCATGTCAGCACATGAAATATTTAAAGATTTTGCTTGTCTGGTGTCATTCTAGCTATAAAAGATATCTGTTATATCTTAAAATAATTCCAGACGAAAACATGGCAAATGATATAAATAACAAACTTATTATATTTGTGGAATCCTGTATCTATAGCAGGTATATTCTTTTATGCCAGGGGTTCTCTTCTAGGGGGAAAATTCTCGTATGCTAGTATCTCGTATGCTCGTATGCTGTCAGCCTGACTCCATGTGCTCTGCTGTTCAGTTAAAAATAATCTAAATCTGCAATTGTTTGTGTTTCGTGATAAGGGTGGGGAGTGATCTTCTAGCAATGGTGAAAAGGGTGCATGGGACAAAACAGATTGTGAACCACTGTTTAATGTAGTTCAAGAGATAATTTAATAAAGATGCTTAATAATGTTTTTTTCTGTGCAAATATTTTGCAAAGTAAAATTCACATTTCCATGTCATATTTACTTTTGTGAAACAGGAATTTATGATTATGTTATCAAAATTCATTCAAGGAACTTAAATCTTATTTAATTAATGGTAAAAATTATTTTGATTTGATATATGAATAGAATATGTTATTTTTGTAGGTAGGTCTCCTGGATGTTGACTTATGTGGTCCTAGCATACCGCATTTGTTAAACATCGAAGACAAAGATGTACATCAGTGTTCAGATGGGTATGCATGGAAGTTTTTTTTATGCATATTAGTAAACTTATATTCTTTTAATTTCAGTGTAATAAAATAATCCCAAGAAATGATTGAATTTAATTTAAAGAATATGTTTTTTAGGTGGACTCCTGTATATACTGACAAAAGTCAAACGCTTGCTGTGATGTCTATTGGTTTTCTGCTAAATAGTAGAAATGATGCTGTTGTATGGAGAGGGCCAAAAAAGAATGGTATCTTTTTAGTTCTTCTCCTCCTTACTAGTTACCCCCTTGTTATCTTTCAGTTTTAAAGTATTCTTATTTTATTCATTTACAATAATTCTTTTCAAATGCTTTCAATTCTCACTCATTCTGTTCTTCCCTTTCAGCAACAGCTTTCATTGCATGAAATCCATTTATTTATTTGATAAATATAATAGTAATTTGATTTTATAATATAATATTCTATGTATTCCATGATTGATTTGATAATATTTTTGCTACAGAACTGGAAGTAAATGATGGTTCTAATCTTGTAACATGATAATACCATTTCAGACACCTTGTACTTAAGGATAACGATATTTTTTTTACAAATTTCACAACAAGCAAGTTTTAAAGCAGGTCTCTTTCTTTTAAATGGCAAAAATCATTTGAAAAAATATGATTAAACACAGTAACGTAAATTTTACAGTGGCGGGAAACTTTCATTGAAACCCATTATATTTGGGCAATGTTCATGGGTTGCCTATTTTGGTGACATAATTTTTTCAGAGGGGTACAAAAATCAGAAAGAACCGAGGTTTTTGTGGTTACTGGATAATTCATCACATAGTAAAATAAATGATCTTGAATTTAATTTTCTGGATTTAAATAAAATTTATGATTTTTACATCTATCCTGAACCTTTTTTAACATATTTAGAATTCATTTTACTACATTATTCTCATATGTGTCCTTCTCTTTCATCAGCTGTAAATTATTCAATACATCTGATCAGCTTACATGAAGCTGGTATGTCTTCAGTAGTTTCTCCTTTATCTCACAACTACTAGAGAGAAATAAACATGTTTTTATACAGATCACTGCAGCCTCCAAGCAGCTCATACAGGCAACCCTGCCATGAGGCAAAATGGCTCACATTCCTTCATTTTTTTCCTCCTTCGAAAGTTGAGGCAGATCTAAATTTTACTCTAGTGCAAGCTTTGAAGAAATCTTGGTTCCCTTGCCCACCTAATTT